CCAGCCAGCCCTGCTCTGAAAACCATCAAAGGCCCTCGCAGAGCCACTGCTTGGACTCCCTTTGGGCTTTGTGTTCTTGCAGGGCTGAGCAAACATCAGGCAGGCCTTTTTCCCCCACAGAATTCTCACCTCTGCAGCAGCTCTAAAGTTGCCACAATCAAAGCCAAGGGGGCAGGGGGCACCCTCAGGTCCTGGCTGCCACCTGGGGCTGGCCAGAGCAGTGGTGGGCAATGGCCATCCCTGTGCAGTGGGGCTGGGCCATGGCTGGTCCCCACGCTTGCATGGCCACCACAACAACATCAGCCACTCCACAGTACATATCACTGTCTCAACACTAACAACATCGCAATATTTAATCAACAATATAATCAACAATGCAATATCTATTAATATAATATCCAGAAGTCCCTTGGACAAAGGGACAAATGATCAGTTGCAACATTTCTGCACTGGTTCCCTCACAGCTGCCCCTGCAGGGGGAGTTTCCAGCCAGCCCTGCTCTGAAAACCATCAAAGGGCCTCGCAGAGCCACTGCTTGGGCTCCCTTTGGGTTTTGTGCTTCTTGCAGGACTGAGCAAACCACAGGCAGGCCTTATTCCCCCACAGAATTCTCACCTCTGCAGCAGCTCTAAAGGTGCCACAATCAAAGCCAAGGGGGCAGGGTCCTCCCTCAGGTCCTGGCTGCCACCTGGCGCTGGCCAGCGCAGGGCTGGGCAGTGGCCATCCCCGTGCAGTGGGGCTGGGCCATGGCTGGGCCCCACACTTGCATGGCCACCACAACAACATCAACCACTCGACAGTACATATCACTGTCCCAACACTAACAACATCACAATGTTTAATCAACAATATAATCAATAATGCAATATCTATTAATATAATATCCAGCAAACGTCAGCTTCCATTCACTTGTTTCTCACAATATATACCAGTAAAGAACTGTTATTCCTCTTCCCACATCTTTGCCTAAAAGCCCCGCAAATTCAAAGTTCTAATAGTTCAGAGAGAAGGCGGTCGTATTTTCCATTGCAAGGGAGGTTCCCACCTTGTTCAGCTTCCTTGACAGAGGTGAACAATACCTGAAGGGAATTGGTAATTGGATTTTGGTGTGAGTGTTTTGCTTCACTGAGCAATCGAATCCAGGTGTGTGTGTGTGTCAGTACTCTTGGCTGACAGGCATGAGAATCCGTGCTGTGGAGTGCAGTTGAGTGCTTGTCAGACTCAGTTTAGATGTAGTGTGCTATAATACAGGATAATATAGTATAATAGAGTACTTAATTAGCCTTCTGATAAGATGGAGTCAGATGCATCATTCATCCTGGAAGTCAGGCAAAAATATCACCGATACTCCCCCCTGCCTTGCCTTTTCCTCCCGGTGCTCCTTCTTCCCTGTCTGCACCCGTTCTTCCCTGCTTCACTGCTTCCACGAGGCAGCCCATTCCTGCTCCTCCTGGACTCCTTCATTGCCTCCCCGATGGAGCGGATGCTGCCTGCACCCACCCACGACTCTGCCGCGTTTCCCATGCTGCCCACAGCACCGAGCCTGCTGCACCTGCCCATCGCAGCAACAACCCACGGCAGCCAGTCCATAACCACCAGTGCCGCAGCACCAGCCCGCAGCCAGCCCATAGCCACCAGTGCTCCAGCACTAGCCCGCAGCCGGCCCATAGCCACCAGTGCCGCAGCATTAGCCCACAGCCAGCCCATAGCCACCAGTGCCGCAGCACTAGCCCACAGCCAGCCCATAGCCACCAGTGCCGCAGCACTAGCCCGCAGCCAGCCCGCAGCAGCCAGCCTGCAGCCATCGCTCGTTGATGCCAGAGACACGCAGGTGCCCTTGCTTGGAAATCATGCCCAGCCGCTCACAAAAGCCATGTGGGCTCGCCGTGGCTTGCAGCACACACACTCCATCTGCCGAGCTGATGCCCACAGAGCGCCTGGGCTTTTTGTGGTAGCGCTGTCCCAGTCTTCTGTTTCTCTCTCTGTCCTTTTCCCTTTCTGGTCCCTTCTCTGCTCCTTTGCTAAGAACCCTTACTCTCCTTTATCAATGTGAAATTGCATATTTTGTGATTGACTTTTCACAAATATTCAAATGAATATTATATGTGTTATGTTAGAAAGTTATGCTGTATTCATTTTCTTAAGTAGTGTGTTAAATATAGTTTTAGGTTAAAACATAATGTTAAAATAGAAACTGTGCTATGTAGGATACTTTTTTTCTAAAGAGAGGACTCGCACTGAGAAAGCAGCCACAGGACACCTAAATCTTACAGAGAAAGAGAATTTATTGCTCCATTATAGAAGAAACTAACTTACAGCCTCACTCAGCCCTGGAGATGCTGTTAGGAGTAAGAGGAAGAAGTTGACAATGACCAGATAAAATCCTTTGTTTGAATGGAGTTTATGCATCCTGTATGAGATGGATGAATATGCAACAGGCTGTTGTTTTTAAGGGGTTAATTCTCTGTTAACGTGTGTCCTTTTTAGGGTTTATTTTGCCCAGCAAAAGGTACCCAGACATCTGTAACTCTTTGTTATTTATTGTCTCATGTTGTCTTAATCTCAATTGTTCAAATTTTATTGCTCTAACTATATTACTATTTTAATAACCACTTTATTACGATTAAACTTTAAAAATTTTAAAAACAAGTGATTGGCAATTTTCACAATCAAGAAACAGTTCTCAGATATAATATTGCCGCCTTTGTGCTTCCTTTTCATCGGAGAAACCTTTCAGAAAGAATCCTCCCCAACTCCCCCTTTTACAGCAGGATGGGACAGGGGTAGTGGAGGGGGAATGGGGCAGATCTGGGTGTACTGCAAGCAGTGTGGGGAGAGAATGGGGCAGTCCCTGAGGGTGCTTGGGCACTTGGATGGGGCTGGGGAGCCCCTGCAGGTACAAGCAAAGGGATGGGGGAGCCCTTGGGGGTACTGGGAGAGGAAATGGGGAGCACAGGGTGCCCTGTGTAGGCTCCCCCTGACCCACGGCCACCTGCCTTGGAAGGATGGGCAACCACAGGAGCCATGGAGGGAGCACCCCCAGTGTCACCCAGTGCCTCCCACTTCCCAGAGCATCACACATGTTGTTGTAGATTGTCATAGATGTCGCTGGGTTCCCACGGTTGCCTGTGCAGC